GAGGACATTAGTATATGTCCTCCGGTGAGCCTAAAGAGGACTATAGAAAAATGGTTGGGCCATAGCTCTTTTTTAATAGAAATTAGTGATAGAGGTATAATGCATCCCCAAACTAAATGAGGTGTCCCCAGCACTCCAAACTGCTGAATGCATGAGTTTGAGAGACCACTAAAGCCAACTGTTGGCAGGAGTTTGAGTGTGCTTCGTCTAGAGAGGTAAATGCTCAGCAAGGTGTGTGAATTGGTCATATGAAAAAACTATATTGTATCTGCACACTGTTGATTTCTTTTGCTGGTAATGTCACATCAAGGAATTATCTTCCATTAACTATTCCAGTGTATCCTTTGCCCTCGTTGACCATAATCCACACTTCAGAGGTCCAGAAGAGCCTTTATCCAGGTGCTGCAAACAATTTTTAGAGAAAAAACAGAAAATGGTGACAGAGCATGATGACAGAACACCAGGTTGTATGTTCAACATTTTCCAAGCACATTAAACATGTTTATACTCTGTGAATGTGCTACATTAAAGAAAGAACCTCCCTAGAGCATTTTTTACACTACCCAGGCATATGAGCATTCTGAGAACAAGCCATGGATGTCACTATTCAATTGATGTCAGTGCTAAGTTCACCACCAGTAATTGCTAGTAATTATTTTATGCCACATGCAGAATACTTAGAAGAAGACTCAAGCTGCAGTGTTAATTTTAACCACATTTGTAGTTCAATTGATATTTTGCAGAATGCTGAGATTAATATAAAAAAACGGATATCACTTGTTACATGATATTAATGCTGTAACTTGTACCGTTTTCTTTTTTCCCAACAAATTCTGTAGTATAATGCAAATAACAGCACTGTTTTTAGTGATATGTTCTTTTAAAGCTCAACTCCAGACACAAAAACATACATTTAAAAATATATCTTAAAAAGCCGAAAGGATATAAATCTACTTTGTGTGCACCAAATGCCTTTTTAAACCCAGAATTGAACTCATTAAAGTAGCAGTGATGTTGTTACTGTCCTTTTAAACAGTCTGTGCAGAGGGCAGAGCTGTGGAAGGGACCAAGTAGGCCCCACCCACTACAAGCTGCCTGCAGAAAACTAGCGTAGGGGGCGGAGGCATGACCAGTCACCCTGCACAAGAAAATAGAGCAGCAATGACTATTACAAGGAACTTCTGCACAAAGGAAAAATGTCACACCGGATTACTGCACAGATCTGGAAGGAATACACAAAACCATATCAAGAATTAAGTAAAAATACACAACGCTTCTTTTATTTAGGCAATATTTGCTTATTCCAGCTTTTTCTAAGCCACACAAACACCTAGACTCATGTTTCAAAACAGGGGGTCACATTTAACATTGTGTTACTTGAAGTGTAAATCATAACACTGCAATTCTCTTATTTACGCACTTTGTAATATACCTTTGGAAGCATTTTGTTATATCAGTTTGATAAATGCCCAAAAAACCTGTTGATCTTGTCAGGAATTTAGTGCTGTTCTGTGTCCTCTGCACATGCCCTGTGCTATCTCAAAGAACCCTCCCTTATCTTGGACTACAGAGTTATTAGCCTTTGTGTTGTAGAGATCTAACAATAGGAGTGGTTGAGTAGTTTAGCAAAGGACAATGGGCAGTGTGTTGTCTGCCCACAACAGGACTTAGCTGTGAATTTGGCCAAAAGATATTTTGTCTGTACTTGCTGGGCCTTTAAAGGGATAATATATTAGGAAATGTGCATATATTTCAGATATGTACTTATTTTACTTTATAACCATGCTGACATCTTTGTATAAAGATCAGTGACAGTATTGTCACAGTTGACGCCATGAGTTACCACAGAAAGAGGTTGCTGCACTAGCTACATTTTTCTATGGAACCTCATGATCTGCAGTTTTGCCCCTGCTATGAAGTGTACATTCCTGCTCCTGAATGCTAAGCCTAAAATATAAATGTGATTTTTCTGATTGAATCTATCTGACCCCAGAAAATGATTGTGTTTTTACTTGCGCATTGCATCTCAGGTAGGGACAAAACTTAATGAAGTGCATATTGGTATCATCCAGGGTTGAAGCCTGGGGGGGCTGGAGGGGCATATCATATGCCCCGGGTGCCACTTCAGGAGGGGTGCCACTGGATGTGTGGATGCCAATGGGGGGGGGGGGCAACTCTGAACCTTTGCTCTATTTGACAGAATGTCCAGCTTCTTCACTGGCATCATCAAGTATGATTGTAAATGCCCACCAAAAGTAACAGTGACAGTGCACCCAGGGGTATTACAATGTACATGTGCAGATGTGCCCACAGCAAGTACTTGTACACAATTTAATTTAATGCTGGTTGGAATGAAAATTCCAATAATAAATACCCATATACTGTATATGCAGCTTTTTTTGCCCTGATGGCATGACCTTTTTTTTTACCTGTTTCTTTGCTTGGTATATGTGTATTTAAATGGTTAGTGTGCTTGTCAAATTAGCTTTTTATAGGTTTTTTTTTTTTACGTTTTCAGCTAAAATACTGGTGTGTGCATTCCATAGTCCACGTTACTGGAACACAGGGCATAAAAGCAAAACAGTTTTTGGATGTTTATAGCAAAGTAGGATTACAACGTATCCAAAGAACATCATCAATTTGCTACATAAGTTCAGGGATAATATATACAGAATATATGTATCTTAACAGTATAGGTAGCTGTTTGTCTTTCCTTTAGATACATCAAACTGTGTATATACACTGTGACAATGCTTGTGAAATTTGTTATAATTGTTATAAGTTAGTTCTATTTTTTGAACAACCCTGGTGACAGTGCCATGGTAGCAGGAAGCGCAGCTGGGTGTGGGAAATACACTGCATCCAGCAAGTGTGCTTGGATCAAAGCCTGTTCAGTGGCAGCAGGATGCAAATCTGTTCCCAGCTGGATACACACTTTAATGCAGCAACTCAACTATGGCATTCAATTCTACTGCTGTGCATGCAAGAACAATGAGGATTAGAATGGAACTGCTGTACCAAACCAAGATTACAGTGACAGAAATCTACCAGTGATAGCTCCTTGGATGGAACTTCCAATAAGACACGGCACCTTTTACACTGACTAGTCAAAAGAATCTGTCCAGGCAATAAATCTATTTTGGCAACACCCTGTTTGAATGAGATGCTAGCAATTACACTGAAAATACAATCCAGGTTTATATAATTTTATATTAGACCCTTTTGAAATGTGGGGGAAATTATTTTTCTGGCAAAAAGTTACAATTTTTGGTAAATGTTGTTTTTCTCCCCAGTTTTCACCATCAATATTGGTGTTTTGAGTGCTGAAAGTGATAATAATGTCTAAAAGGTGCTGATCAAATAACCTACAATGGACATTGCTTCTTAATGTTTAAAAGTTTTATTTTCGTGCAAAATCAGCTGGTCCCCTGAGCACTGGGACCTTATATACTGTCTTAGGGTGGCTCCTTTTCATTTTCATCAACTCCAGATGAGAGTAGAGTCATTCTCAACAATGGGATATAACCGGACTGTGTGCTCAATCCTGCACATGCCGCATTTTGTGTTGTTTATCTTTTTCCAATGTGTAACATTGACAAGATAAATGGAAATTGCATTTTCAAATTTGTATAAATATGCCACACTTTGCTTTCTGCAGAGGTGTTAGCTTCCATTTTACTTACTAAATCATTAAAAGGTGTAATTTGGCTAGAGCTGCTCAAACTTTTTTTCACAGTTGTATGATGAGATTTACAATAACCGTAACTAAAAACAGTGTTCAAGCATAACAAAGCACTCAAATGCTTCAAGGACAACTTCCAGTATTCATCTGAAAGACTTGCAGATAACCTAGATATAGAAAGGCCTGCTTCTCTGAACTGCAGTGGCATTTTTAGGGAATATTTAATATGTATAAAGAGCTTTCCTGGAGTCCTTTTTAGGAACTGCTGAAAAATATAATGGCAGTACATAAGCTGCGTAGGGGAATGAATCAGGAGCAAAACAAAATCTGGAGATCCTATCACGGGATTGCGACAGCACCATGTATTAAATATTTTTTTTTAAATGAACGTTGATGATTTATCTAACTTTAGTACTTACCAGAAAGTTGCTAAACTTCATACAGGTCCACATGGGTTTAAACGGTGCTGTCACGTACCTCTTGTGGCCTAAAAGAAAGACAAAGAGCTGTTAAGATGCTACAAATGAGACAATGGTGTCACCATGAAGTCTCTTCTTTGGCAGATTTTGGAGAGGACTGGAGAGGAAGAAGGTATTGTTGCTGTTTACAATCCCATAGTGCTATTATATTCCACTGAAGTTCCCGTCATCACCTAGCCACATATACCAGCTCTCCACTCCACCCAAGGCTCCATTAACACTTATGTTCCCATTGATGGGCATTTTTTGGCAAGTGGGTGCATGTCCAGGGGCCCAAAAGCGTACCTGCCTAACCTATTTCCAGTTCTATATCCATTGCATTGCACTCAGAGGCATGTACATTTGTTCACTCTGTGTAATATGTATAAAAATACACCAGTGTGTATGAACTCTCAGAGCTCCAGTACACAGGGTCTCCACCTTGGGCACCCAAGTGGCATTTCTGCTTGATGAAGCAAACTTATTACATCAAAACAGAGATTGAACAAATTATAAAATGGCCCGTGATTTTGAAGGTTTTTTTCACATTTTTCCACATGTTTTTCAGGAGCTTTTACTCCTGAGCACTTTTGTTTTAACCAATGGAAAGCTAGTTACTAGGAGTAGAGAATGGTTGTTAGATGCGCACTTGGAGCAGTGGCTACTTTACAACATACACAGGGACCATGGAGAACAAAAGTAGCCACCCGCCAGAAGGAAGGACAGGGTCAGCACCAATTCAGAGATAATTTGAGGATCTAAAACTGAGTGATGCACAAATAAGATACATGTTCGTTAATAGTTAAGGTACTTGAATGCATTTTTAAAATGTAACCTCTGAGTTTAGTGTCACTTTGAAGTGAGGGGGTTGGTTTAAAAAGTAATTGGCTGTTCACTGTGTTATTTAAGACTAGCAGGGTTATTCACAAAAGTGTGAAGAGTTTTGAGAAGGCAGGAGAAGAGAACAATCTAGGGCAACATAGCTGAACTAGAAAGTGAGCTGAATTGGATAATTTTTCAAAATCAGCTATTTTGGCCTAGATTGTTCACTTCTCCTGACTTATCCAAACTCTTCACCCTCTTGTGAATAACCCTGTAGATGATTTTCACCAGGCAGTACTTGGAAAACACTGGCTTTTATCAGGTGTACTTTTTTAAATAACAATAAAAAACATTTCATGAATGGTTTTGCCTGTGTACCTGTCTAAAGAAAACTGCCGCTTCTATGTCACAATTGCCTGTATGGTTTGCAGCAAAAAGTACCCTCTACATTGGCCCCTGGATCCAGTGATAATTGCAAACAGCTGCAATATTGTGAGAATATTTATGATAAGTCAACCCACTAGGGAATCCTGTGGCAGGTCACATTCCTTTGAATTGGCATTTAGGACTGTGAATAGTCACCAGTATTCAGCTGCGTAGAAGCACAGTTGAAGAATGGAATATGTAGCAGTAGTGTATAGTCCTTAAAGGCTAATTCCACCTCTCTGACGGCTGCGTCATTTATTCAGACGGATCTGTGACTGAAAGACCACAAATCCCATCTGCCACCATGGCAGATGGACTCATAGACCTCAATGGTGATGTCACCGCACTTGTGATCCATTGATTACGTCCTCCATCCTCATACCCAAAGGTCTGGAGGATCCTGAGCATTACATCTACAATCCAGTGCCCACAGGTTGCAATGCTTTGCAGGCTCAAATGCACAAAATGAAAATGTTGCTGACTGTGTCCTCATTGGGTAGGTCTTCCCGTTGACACAAAGACAGGAAATTAGAAGGTGGTGGGTGTGGGATACATACAAACAAAAACCTGACAGATGTTTAACCTTTCTCTGCTCTGCTTAAAAATGTTTGATTTTACTGCTGCTTTTGTCACAATCAGGGATATATCCCATCACTTGCTGTCCTTGTGACACCCTGTCACTACGACAGGAAGTGAGGAATAATCTACCCAATGAGGGCACAGACAGCATTAAAACTATTTAAGACTAGAAAAAAAATGGCTGTATTTGGGGTTTAAAAAGAAGGTCATGTACAGTTGCTTCTTCATACAATAATTCTGCCGAAGAAGCTTGAAACAAATGATTTGTGCTCTGTTTTACATACAGAGAACAGAAAAGGGAATTGTGCTCAGATACCCCATTATAGTGCAGCCATGGTTCTTGATAAAATATCAGTATTGAATGACAGAAAGTGCCAAGAATTCATTTTCATATTTGTCTTTGCAATGTAAAATGTTTGTGAACAATCTGTTTCATGCTGTATAGCCACCCTTTGTGGTGTATACATTTTTAGACCTAAGTGCACATTAGCCTGCATTGCTTAATTTGCCATGGTTTATCAACAAGTGCCCACTTGCCAAAAATCTTAACTGATCTCTTAATCCCAGCACAGAATATATGCACTGTGGTGCATTGAGGTTCACCCCCAAAATGCTTGCACAAGGTTGCATCTAATGTGCTTTGACTTGTATTACAATGCATGTGAAGGTGCATTATACCACAAATGGATCTAAAGCCAACCTGTTTTAAAGGATAACAATGCCCCCTTGTTCTCTTGTGCTATGTATACTTTTGTTTACATACTTCAGATTAGTGGGCGACCAGGGAGCCGTGGCCTCCTCCTCCTGAAAGAGTTACACATTGAAGTACATGTTCAGATTTTTCTCCATAGCCCCACAATGAGGCAGATATCTACTCATAACAAGCATGCATCTTGTAAATGATAAATATCCCTCATTCACAGCACCCCCAGCCCCAGGGAAGCTAGTCATAGTCTACATGGCAGTCAGAATCTAACCACAAGGTTTTTTTAAATATTATTTTCAAGAGAGAAACATGGAGGCTGCCATTGCTGTCTTCTTGTTCAGAAAATGCCATTGGTGTTGACTCTCTGGCATAAAACATTTGACCATACACCCTGAAATATGCCAATCAGGTCTTCAGTCTTTATTCTAATTTTTCTAATCTGCATACTTGATCTAGACCATTAAGATAAAAGTACTGAACCCAGCATGCCAGCATAATGGCCAGTATTCTAGCATTTTTAACAATGGCAGTCTACATATTTCTCTCTGGAAAAATTATCTTTCAAACCATTCCAACAACATGTTCATGTTGTCTAATATCTATGCAGTGTCTAAGCAGGAGAGCCAGACGCCATCAATGCTTAGTAGAATGTGACTGTGCACAGGCTTTGCTGCCAAGTCCTGAGTTTCACTGGTCAGAGATATCTCTTTCTAACTATACCAATAGGTCAGTATGACCATACAGGTTATGGTGAGAAGTAATTAAATCAATCAAAAAGCCATCAACTCTAATGAGTGAGAAGCACCATAAAGCTATCTTAAAACAGAAGGTATTCCCATGTCTCATTTCTTCACATATCCCAAAATAAGAGGATTATTCCTCATTTCAGGACAGTGGTTGAAATGCAAAGTGCTTTTCACTTCTTTGGCCAATACCTTAATATACTATGCACTGATTAGAATTGAGGGCTTTTTGATTGCATTAGTCCCTTCTCGTCATAACCTGTATGTTTGTACGGTCCCATTGGGTTCCATGCCCTACTCCATAGATGCTATTGTTTCCATATACTGCTCTGATGATGGCTGAATGGCCTGAAACAATTGTATGTAATTTTGAATAAATGGCTCTATCATATTAAACTATATTTGTACTATGCAACAGCGATTCTAAACGTGCATCTGGCCGAAGGTTTACATTGATTTACATTGCTCTGCCCACTGTCCTGAAATGAGGACTAATCCTATTTATGGTGTATGTGATGGAATGAGAAGTATGAATGCCTTCTGTTTTAAGAAGGCTTTTCTGTGCTACTACCTATACATATGACAGACTTCATCTAGACTTAGTGACAATCATCTCATTAATACCTGTGTCACAAAAGCGTGTCAAAAATGATTTTTCCTGCTAAGAAACCATGCAAATGTGTTAAACAAATCATATAAAACTAAGAATATGCAGTCTACATTAAAATGTCTGGTACCCTTTAAAGTGAACAGTTTGGTAGACAGGGTAAGAAGAATGCAGGGAAACACTAAAAGCTTCACCATCACATAAATCATCATTTACAAAAAGAATAAGCTTTTTAGCTTGCAGGTAATGCACAAAGCACAGGGAGCGAACCAGCTTACTCCTATCTCTGCCCTAATCGATAGTCACAGAATGTTATTGAGATGAGATAATAGTAGATGCCATTATACTGTAAGTGCTGACCTAATTGCAAAGAAATATTGGTTTCTTTGTCTAGGGAAAGAGAGGTGCCGGAGGAATTTAAGTCTGCACCAGCAGACCAGTTTACATTCATTATCTTACTTCACATTCGCTGAAACTCCTGTGGGCAATGCTCGGTAAAGCTAACTGCTATCAGCTGGCTTCTAACTACACGCAAACTGAATCACCTGTGTGCCTCGCATTGTGCACATAACAGTACGTACGCTGGATAGGAAGTGACATGTCTAGGGAAGCAGTTAAAGGCTACAGTATTATTATGAAACATTATCTGGAAGTCACTGAAGTGTTGCCACGCAAGTGCTTAATATATGTCATGTGTATGAGGATGCAGTATAGTACATTACAATTTATAATAACATCCCCAGTGGCTAGGCCATGGTTCAGAGGATAGGGAAACAGTGAACACTATTACACTACCAAATAAACAGCTTGCCATAAGGACCTATGGAATACTTCTGTGCCTATTTTCACTAATAATTACAAACACTAGGTTTTATGGGATTTAAAGGGTAAGGGTTCAAGCTAACTCTAGAAAATGGGTAAGTTTGGGCCAGTTGTCAATTGTGAAGACTATGGGGTCATCAGTTATGCATGAAGCAGCCAAAAATCTCATGAGCTAGAATGGTTAATATTTGCACAGAAAATAGTAATATACTGAATATATTATATATATATATATATACTTCATCTATTTAATAGTAGTGATCTAATTATTTCAAAGGTCTGGTCATCTACTTTCTGTATGTAGTGGAGTCTTCTTTTAATGGCAGTGAATTCAAGTAAGATATTTGTAAATACCAATATACTTAATAAACTTAAGATATAGGGAACAAAAGCAGAATTATTTTATTGCAGAATTTTCCATGGTGTAAGTCATGAAGCACTGGTGTCCTGACATTATGGGCACTTTAAGGCTCAGACTTAAAGTAATATTAAAGTCAGAATGTTTTCAGCTATTTCAAATGCTAATTAAATAACTTACAATGTATTCTGCTTCTTAATGTTTAAAAGTTTTAATTTTCTGCAAAATCAGCTGGTCCCTCTGAGCACTGGTCCTAAAATCCTGTGTTAGGGTGGCTCCTCTCCCTTGCAGGGTCCTATGGAGAGACCCTTGTGTGTGCTAGTAAGTTGTGTGTGTCTCAATTAACACACAGACACAGAAAGGCACTCCCCCCTGTTCCTCCTTTCTCCCATCTCCGATCTTATACAGTAGATGGACAGCTGCTGGAGACTGCTCTGTCCCTTGTGATCTTGGACAAGAAGTTCAGGGAAGCTAAGCTGAGAGAGTTGGAGCTGTTTGGAAACATGATGAATGTAAATGCTTGGGCAACAATATAAAGAAATACAATATATATTTGTTTGATCTGGATTCATTATTGACAAAATGTTTAAGCATTTAATACTACTTTAAAATATAGGTCCTGATGGACCCCATTAAAGTAGAACCACAAGTTTTTATTTAATTAACAGAGTCAATTTAGTATTCTTTATTTACGAACATTTTAAGCGGCTCCACAGACCACTACTATCCTCCTCTCCAGCTCGTGGGACTGTTCCTTCCTCACATTCACAATAGTCAGTGAAGAAGTTGCACACCAATTCCTTAAAATCAACTTTACTTTCCAAACACCAAAATTGTTAGATACTGCAGCCAGTGGCCTCTCATTAACATGTTTTACCCCTTAATGGAGTTTAATCATAAAGCAATAAAGTTGAATCAACTTCAAGGTTGTGGTGTGCAGCCTTGTCACAAACTATGACAGCCCTTTTAGTGTTTAGAATATTGCTACATATTAATAGTAGCAATGCCTATCCAATCATTAAGATGTAAAGCTGAAGGGTCTCATGCAATGGGCCATGAATAAAGTTTAGAGAATTTGGTGTTCTGATTAGTAGGGTGGAGTGAAAAACACCTGTAGCAATGATAAGTAAAGAGGGGTCATATTCTGAAACCTGCAGTTACTGAGGACTGCAGAGCTTGGATTTTACAGTCAACAGTTTTTGGTAGTGGAAAGAGTATGGTATGGAAAGCCAACAGAGATCCATCAACATTTAAACAGTAGCTGAATTAAAGTTGTTGTTGCAATACACCACTGACAGAGTCTGGAAAATAGATTAAAATGGATTTGGTCCACATTGGAAAGCCACTGTAACATCCTTTAAAAATGTCCAGTTTCTAGTTGGCATTGTCCTGACTTTCCTGATATTGTGATTAATGATTAATTGTGATGACAAAGCATTTATATATTTATTCTGCACTTGGAATTAACAGTGTACACACTGCTTTGGCACATGGAGGAAACACATGTAAAAATAACACAGTGTTAGTTGTGTTCTGATATGGAAAAAGTCACAGAGATAATTGAGTGCATTACAATGAAATACAGTAAAATGTGCTGAAATTGTGACATTGATCGCATACCTTACCAACCAATTAATTAGGCTTAGCAAAGCTTACATTTCTATAAGCCATAACAATGAGCATAAAGTGCACCCCAATCTAAAAACAGATATTTAATTAGGTGCTGTGGATTTGTTTGTTTGTATTACTTAAAAAGCCAAGAGTTAGCCCACAACTCCCTAGTACAGGAGTTATTGCTAGTAATGTCACCAGTCCTGTCAATCCCATCTATGTAGGAACACCTGCACAGCAGTAAAATGCCTGTGCAGAGCCCAGTTGCAGAGTGGCACAGAAGCAAGGAAGCTTTCTTAGGACCCTCCTTGACTCAAATGTGCCACATGAATGACGTTGTAAGTGTTTCTTCTACTTTGCTTTATATTTGCACATTTGCTGTTAGGTGAAGTTATTTTATTATTAGGATCATCACACTTTAGCCTGATAGGCAGGAAGACACTGGGAGAAGATAAAAGGCTTCCTATAACTTTCATAACCTACCTTTCAAATACCTTCATAAAGATTGCCAGAATTATTTGCAAAGAATGTGGTATATCCATTAATATGTATATGGTAAGAGAAAACAGGGAAAGCACCTACACCTGGTGTAATAACATTTTATTAAAGCAATGAAAAATGAATATATCAATTGACTCACATGTTCCCTAGAGGTATACAGCATTACAATCTCTACTGCAACTCACAGGGTTATAGAGTACAGATAACCCGCAATTCTGTGGCGACCACTAGAGGTACGTAGGGCTGAGGATAGCTAATGTCTTCTGGGTGTGATCACCCCCTTCAGAGCTAACAGAAAAAGGGGGGGATCAGCCCTGAAACGTGTTAGATATCCTAAGCCCTACTTACCTCTGGTGGTCGTCAAATACTTTTTAGATATCTGCACTCTGTAACCCTGTGAGTTGCAGTGGAGTTTGTAATGCTGTACACCTATATGAAATATGTGAGTAGATAGATTAATTGATTTCTTATTGCTTTAACAAACGTTATTACACCAGATGTAGGCACTGTCCCTGTCTTCTCTTTCCATGTACTGTCGAGGAAGTTTCCCAATTACCCTCTGGACAGCAGCCTCCCTTGGTCATCCATCATTAAAGATTTGTTCGTGTGGTCTATGTTGGTGGACATAAGCCCTGGGTCTTAAATCTTTCTTAATATGTATATGGTATTAGTTATCTTTTCATACTTTTGTGTCTACTACCTTGCTATTACACTGCTCTAGAGCTCTCTATCCTCTAATAAACCTTCTGGCAGGACTGCACCAGAAACTTTTCCTGTGTACATTTCTCTCTGGGCAAGACCTATAAAAGATTATAAAAGTGGCATACCACGGGCTTTTTGGAAGTACTGGATTTATTTGAACATACTAATTAAACTGCTAGTCAAAATGTTATTTTGTGAGGCACAAGGGTTTTCCTCTGTAATCTCATCACCATTACCAGAGCCTGTCGTTCATTGCTCCCCAAATGACAGCTAGGCAAAACGGGTTTGAAAAGTTAATTGTCCAACTAATTTGTTATACTTTTGCGGCTGAATCAAAGTCTTTCAATAACATTTGATGCTGTGACTGAAGCAAGATTATCAAATTGTAAAAAAATACTGCGGAGCTTGCATTAGACAGAGCAGTTCTCGATGGTAATAAACTTTTTGCAGCTGTCTTTCGCAAAGAAAACATGGCAAGATTTCGTAGGCTTATGCTTAAGCTGAAGTCAAGCCAGAGAAAACCAAGTGCTCAAACCCCTTGCCAGACTGGAAGGGACAAAAAGTTCACTATTTTCCTTAGGCAAAGTTACCACACTTGGGCTGTGCCAAATGCTATTTTAATCATCAAATGAAAATCTGATCTAGGCATTTACTATGCACCAAAAAAAGTTAGTAGCAGAATATTATTAGAATAAATATTATTTCTTTTTTATTTTATTTTTCTGTAATTTTAATTATATTGAACACGCTTTGTGTCAAATAACATCCAGAAAAATTAAATTGCTCTTTTCCCAGTGGCTGAATGTTCTGAATGTTTATGAAATACATAAAAATAATCATTGCAGTAAGTTCAAATATAACCTTTCCATTAAACAAGTGAAATCAGTGCAATGCTTGCTAAAATAATATAATTTATATTTTCTTTATATTTAGAGCAAGCCAAAGGCTTTTTGTGTTTGCATTTTCATTATTATGGAGGAAAAAAAGGATACATTTTACAATAACACAGTAAACTTTCAATACATTAGAAAAAAATCTCTTATAAGTTATTACATTAACAAAGCAGATTGCAAAAATAAAAAATGACTGTAGTGGATTCCATTTACAAATGAATAGTAAGAATGCAGGCAAATACTATCCTGAATTAAAGCTTGCAAGCTTGCAGTCTGATTTTCAAATAATTTACTGTGTTTTTTTTTTACATATATTGTTAGCAAGCATGTATTTACCCCTATTCATTTTAATACACTTTTTTGGAAAAAAATACTAATAAAGTGTAACTAAAGCCCAAACGTTTTTTTTTTACTTCTGGATTGGTGAGGGGTTAGAAGGTCAGGTGTTATTGGTGTCTGTGTCTCCAGTAAAAATATTTACATTCTGTATTTGCCCTAGTGACCACTGCTAGTGAGGGAAAATCCAACATTTTGTGTTGTCACCAAACAGCAATAATGAAAATATTCCAATAGGGACAATTGTTCCGGTGAATTTCCGGTGTATTTATCTCGCCTTGGAGATATTTCCTCTCACCTCCTGTTGTGTCTACAAGACAGGAAGTGAAAAGATATATCCAGGGGTGTCCCTAGCTAGTTTTTGCCACCCTTTGCCAACCTTAAGCAAATGTATCTATAGCAAAAGCAAAACAAATAATTTTATTTGTGATAGAGTTATGTGCATTGTAACAAAACAAATATTTATACACATTATAACCGTTATTAAAATGGAACAAAAAACAGCAGCTAGGTTATTATTATTGAACTTATGAACACAGCATTGGTTTATATGTGCCTCTTTTCCATGTTTGTTCCAGTTTTAGAAATCACTCCCATTATAATCTGGTGACAGTGTTCCTCCATACATTAGGGAATTAGGGATATATAGAAATCTGCATTTTTAAGGTTTACCAGTCACTTGGTCCACAGGCACTCTAGTTTTAATTACTGAAGCCTATCACTGTTATATTTCTGGAAAGAGCAATATGATAGGCCAGAACCTGCAGCTGAATGATTGCAATGCTTTAGTCCAGGGGTAGCCAAACTTTCGCCTTCCGGCTGAGGTGAAACTACAACTCCCAATATGCGTCTGCCCTGAATGTCAAGGCTGTGGCTGTCAGAGTCTTGCAACTGCTTATGGCATTTGTAGTTTAACCATAGCTGGAGAGCCTCTAGGTAGGCAGAGCCAGCTGTCACTCATGCAGCTGGGCGGATCAAGCCATAATTGTCGGGATCCGCTTCAGCTGCGGCGTCTCAGAACATTTGCTGTTAGGTGAAGTTATTTTATTATTAGGATCATCACACTTTAGCCTGATAGGCAGGAAGACACTGGGAGAAGATAAAAGGCTTCCTATAACTTTCATAACCTACCTTTCAAATACCTTCATAAAGATTGCCAGAATTATTTGCAAAGAATGTGGTATATCCATTAATATGTATATGGTAAGAGAAAACAGGGAAAGCACCTACACCTGGTGTAATAACATTTTATTAAAGC